GCTTCTCAGGGTTTCTTCTCCCCTTCTTTCCTTCCACTGGTTTATCAGTAGTTCCATTTGTTAGAACAGTTTCAGGGCTTACTGCATTATTATTCAAGGACTTCGGTGACGACGCACCCTTACTATCCTCTCTGGGGCTCAAGATGGCACTTCTGATAGGCGTGCCGCAGGCTTCTGTGCTTGCCTGTTTTCCCTTGATATCTTGGTCGTTGCCCATTTCTTCACATTGCCCTTCAATCTTCTGCTCTAGTTGAACTAAGTTCTTCTTTTATGCCCTACATTGGACGCAGTCCAAATTTAGGCTCTTAAACTTTTTATACACTCCATAGCTCACTTCGGATAGCCCACTGCATTTGATGCAACACCAGGCTCAGCACGTGTTGCATTGTATACCTTCCTTCACTGCATCTGAACGGCACTTTGTGTTCCCACTTACTCTCACTGTATCTCTTGCGGTCGGGTGAAGGCCTGTTGGAGAGCTTCAGGATCACTACTCGGGCTACTTTCACCGTTGATTGTGTGTCAACAGAAACTTATAGGGGTGAATAAAACTGAGAGCTAAGAGTAACCAACCGATACTATAAAGGGACCGACTAAGTGAAACAGAAAAACGGAAACAATGATCGAGCGAGAGAACGGTAAGAAACCATATTTGATTTTAGCTAAAGCTAGCCTAAACTAACGTCCCAGCGGTGACCGGCCTTCCAGAATCATGCATTGCAACTCAGATGTGAGTACTTTGTTGTCACTACGAAGTTCCCACGTCGGCGAATACCCCAAGGTAGAGATATACGTATCCGTGAAATCAAAAACGACCAGGTTGCCGTTTTTCCCCGGATGTATCTGTGCCTTTTGTAGCGTTTTTGTCGCGTTTCCTTGAACTTCCTGCTCCACGTCAAATTTTAAACCACGCGCGGTCACGGTGAAGGTCAGGTCAGGTGTGACCTTGCTACTCTCCTGGATCGAGATTTTCTTAGTTTCTTACAGTGTATCCTTGTTATCGAATCCAGATCCTCCTGAAACAGGTTCTCCGGACCTGCGCCTGATAAGCCCTTCATTAGTTTGAAGATTTCGATGAGGTCACCCCAGAGTCTGCGCCTCCCCAGAGAAAAGAACAACGGATCATGAAGTCTCTGATCATACGATTTACGTCTTTGACCTTCAACAATTCTCGTTCTCTGAACTTCCTTTAAACAGGCAGCATCCTTTTTGAAGAAGGTTAACCATGCCTGGACGCAGTACTCGGGATTAGGTCTAACTGTAGCTTTGTACAGGGCACGAACTTCTCCGGTTTTCTGCAAGACAGTGCTGACCTCAGTCTAAAGATTTCTCTGCGAGCGCTTTTTGCGGCTGCTGTGCACTACTCGGCCCAACGGAAATCGGAAGTCACGATCATACCTAGGTCCTTAGCCCTACTTACTGATTCTACCGTAAACAACCCCTGGCCCTGCATCACTGTTAAGCTATCGCCGGTCCTCGATAGCAACTGCTTTTTACCAGTATTCAGCGGCACATCCCACTTATGCGCCCAGATGAGGACAGCTGCTATGTCTCTTTTGAGGTCCTCTCTTCCTTTCGATTCCACCACCTTCACATCGTCGTCGAAGAAGAAGGTGGGCAGACTCAATAGCGTAGCAAGGTCATTTACGGATAGTAGGAACCACAACGGACCTAGTGCGGAACCCTGGGGTACATCACTTGTGAAGTATGCTGTACGGGAGCAATTGTCACCTACTTTGACGTTGAAGGGCCTTTTGGTGAAGAACTCCCTCAACCATTGGTGTATTTGTCCGCTAATACCAAATGCCTCTTTATGAATTATAGTAGGCGTTGATTGACCGAGCCTTACTAAAGTGAAGATAATGTACATCTACCCTGTGCCCCTCGTCTAATCTTCTGATAACTTCATCCAAGAAGCACAGTAGATCAATCAAGTCTTCAGTCTTTAGGATTGAGGGCAGAGGGCAGGGTGCCCGTGTGAACCCCATCACCACTTGGTCGAAGGTCCGATCACAAGTGTTTCCTCCACAGCTCCTTCAGGTGCTCATCCAGATGCCATTTGAAAGCAGCATTTGTCTTCTCTTCCACTACAATCGCTGGAAGGGAATTCCAGAATGTTTTTGACCTGCGCAAGAGTCGGTAGACGAACGGAAGACCAACTGACTGAAGTTGAGAGAGTGCCGCAGCGTGCGGTCCTCTGTCCGTAAAGGAAAGTGCTGTTGCTGATCCGATCTAATTTTGAGAAACCCATGTTGAGTTGGACATAGTATAGAATGTTGCGTTAGGTGTTGGTGGAGATAAGCAAACATTTTTTTCCAACATCTTACACAAAATACTAGTTAGACTGACTAGCCTGTAGTTACCTGCCTCTGATCGGGCTCCCCCTTATGTATTGCCACTACCGCTGCTACATTCCAGTCCCTCGGTAGAACGTCCTGGTCTAGCGAAGCTTTGCATAGCTTAAACACCGGCCCTGCGAAGATGTCTGCTATGCGCTTGATGATAGCTGATAAACTTCATCCAGTCCAGTCGCCTTATGGACGTCTAGACCATCCAAATGTTGGAGCACTATCTCTTCCGAGAGCTGAATCTCCTCAATTTCTGGCGATAATGATCTTCGCTCCAGGAGTCTTGGCATGCCGTAATCCGTTCGGTGTACACTACCAAAATAGCTAGCCAAGGCAACTGCCTTACCCTGGTCATCCATAACGACCGCTGGAGCACCTGTAATTAGTGATTCTATACCATCACTTAGTGCTCCCTTAGACTAAACGTAGCTGTAGTATTTCTTCGGTTTCATTTTGGTGCATTAGGTCAGCCAAAACTCATGATGCTTTGGTTTCTCGTATTAGCCTAACCGCCTCATTTCTACACCTTCTGTATCGAATCTACGCTTGTTGATTTCCGGAAACTCTTAAGCTTATCCAGTATCTATTTCGTTGTTTGATGACCCTAGCTATGACTGCCCTCCACCACAATGAATAGTCGCTGGATCGGCTGGGTTCCAATGGAGCAAATTTGTTTTGCAGATCCACGGGTAACTCCCTAATTAACATCTAGTAGTCTTCTACGCTAGCCCCCTCCGGAGCATCCCTTACCAACTCTGAGATTCTCTGGATACATACAGCCGAAATGTTTTATCATCTTGAATGGTTCCTTAGATTGTCGTATACACACTTTGATAGATATTATGACGTGGTAGCTTTTACTAAGAGGTGGGCGTGACTGTAGTCATGTCATTCTTGTGTGTAGTGATCACTGGATCAAGCATCGACGGAGAATTACCTTACCTAAATTTAGTGTTTTCCTTAACATTTTGCCACAGGGCGTTTGCCATCAGTCATTTGAGGTAGTTCTCTTCTGCTGAATCCCAGAGTGCACACCTCAAACCTCTATTATGTGTGATAGGTCTAAGTCGCCATTAATATTTGCTTTCTTGGCTTCTTCAACCATCCTCGTGAGAGCACACACCAGTTAACTGTCCTCTTAACGGATTTTACAGGTTACACGACAAACACACGTTCAGTTCAGTATGCACAGGACGAAATGTGGCTTCCAGCCATCCGAGCGTCCAGATTGTTGTGTTGTTGCCGGGTGTTTGTAGCTTCCAACACTGCGTATTGTCAATTCCAGCGATCGACCGTTGGTGGGTTCACTTGTCTCAATCCTCAGTATACGTTTCCAGCTTAGTTCAGGCCAGGTCAGGTCACAGGACTTGCGGCTGATGCCAATTTGAGTCCAGGTTCTTTCACCGAAAGCGTATCTTTTGCCTACATGTGCTTCGAGGATCCTTTGCGAGGCGACTTTTGGGCCCGTCGGTGCCAACTTGGGCAACTTTCCGGTTCAGGTGCTACTTCTGCAGCTGATACAGTTTAACGCTAAAGAGGAACTCCTGCATAAAAGAAAAGAAGGAATGCCTGCAGTCTAGGTATGCACTAAGATGAGCAGTTGGTGGGATGAAGCAATGTCATACCCTAGCTGGCTTCCTTATTAATCGGGGATTCGTATTTACCCGGCAGGGTGCTAGAGGAGCCTGTGCAGACGATGTAGGAATAAGCAAACTGTGTATCTTGTACAACTTTTGCAAGCACTAGAGCTCACATTTCAGTTAAAAAATCATACACGCTAACCGTCACAATGTACATAATCAACGGGGAGAAAAGTTTTCACAGGCATGGGGACATTCATAGCCAAGGTTAAGTCATTGTTCGCTCTTTGTTTGTGAGTAGACGAGCAAGATACGGTATGGGTGAATTGCGGTGTGCATTAATTCGAGATGAAAGTTGGCGGAATTGGAAGCGTGTTGAATAATAGGAGCGACAGTGTCAGTTCTGCATGCAATGGGTGGTTAAAATCTGTAAGAATCCTTTCGGCAAATTTCACACAGTAAGTTACGTGATACTCTGAAAGCTTTGCAGCTAAACCATTCACAGGAATGGAAGAGACACGACTAATAGTGGGTAGACCGCGACGTAAGACTTTGAAATCCTGTTTGAGTAAACAGGAAAAATAACCAGGGAAAAGTAGAGTAAGATGGGGAAAACACATTGATAAACACGAGTAGAAATAACTGACTGGGATGCGGAAACTGCCTGAGCTTTCGTATTTTAAATGAAAGGCACCGCAGTTTACCAATGCAGTTATGGATGTGGGTTGACCAATGAAGATTGCTATCTATGATTACACCAAGATATTTGACAGAGTTCACCCTAGATAAAGGAATGTTATCAATCACTGTGGGGTCTGTCGGATATGGAGAGCTAGCAAAACTATATAAACAATCAACACATTTACTGGGGTTCAGGGTTAGCTCCGATGAGGAGCAGAATGACTGAATTCGCTCAAGATTATTGGCGGAAGAATTTATATCAGAGTAAGAAGAAATGGGTTGGCACAACACGACATCATCTGCATATTTCAAAATACGTGCGGAAGAAACACAGGGAATATCGCAAATATAAGTGGCAAATAAGTTTAGGGATAGCACAGCTCCTTAAAGGACCCCGGATTTGTTGACTAAGGGTTTTGATATGGCCTTCCCCAATCTAGTGTTTTATACCCTATCGGTAAAATAGTTGAACAGCCGAGCTAACAACTGCGTGGGGCATTCAAACAATTCCAGCTTTTTTAACAACTTAGATCGAGGAATGGAATCAAACACAGAAGAGTAGTCGAGACAAACACACCAGTCAGACTTAGCAGAGCTGTTCAATGATTTAGTGATGAAATGAATGAGGGTGGAGACTGCGTCTGTAGTGACCATTCACATCCCATTCTAAACGTATCCTTCCTCCAGTGGATCTCTTGGTTTTATCACACCAAGGCCACCTCTTTGGTCGGCACGTGTTTTTTTCTTTCTGCACGCTTGCTCACGCCTTGCTCTGTAGGTCTTTACAATACAAGTCGTCCTGCGTTTCGTGAATAGCCTCGTTCACTTCTCGTACGAACGTACGTTTGCAATCTATAGGTATTAGCTCGGGGTATCGATAAGCTAGCGCCTACACGTCCAAAGTGGATCTAGTTGGATTGTAAGCAAACTGTAACGGATAACTGGGAATGTTTATAGACTGCTGAAGGCGTTTTAGGATAGCCTTTTCAGTCAATTCAAGAGCTGAAGATGGTAATGCTATGGAACGAAAACGTTCGGATAGGATAGAAGATTTGGATGCTTTGGGGATTGGTATGTTTGTGACCGGCCTCCAACAGTCGGGGATAGTACAAGTGTGAAGGGATTCATTTACAATGGAGGTAATTGCCCCAGTTAGGGAAGCAGCACCAAATTTGAGGAGGGCTGGATGTTAGTCAGCTGGACCTGCAGCAGAAGACGATTTGCAACCTTTTAAAAGTTTTAACATATCAAAATATGAGAGCGGTTCCACATTACAAGCATTTTGTGCCGAGTAGGCGGGAAGAATAGCCGATGATTGGCGCAGGAATGCGGCATTGAGATCATCAGCGTCCACATCTACGTTTGACCTTACTTTCTTCCTTCCACAGATAAATCTTATACCTTACCACAGGTGTTTGCTGTTTCCAGTCCTCCGAATTTGATCAGAGAATGATGCGTTCAATCCTTTTACTTCAGCTTTGATAAACCTTGGCAAATACCTAATAGCTGAAGCATTGTGAGGTTCAGTTCAGTTCAGTCCAGTTCTCCCAGGACGAATTGTGGCTCTTGCCAATCGCGAGTCCAGTTCTTTGTGTTGTCGGCGTTTCGTCGGCTTCCAACACTTCGAGTCAATAGTAGTTTCTGAACGGCAGAATGTTAGTGTGCAGAATCAGATTCCCTTAATATTATTTCGGAAAGTAAGCCTAACGATTAACTTTCAACACTCAACTTCAGGGAATACCACTGCCCAGCATTCATCTAGCCTCCCTTATAGTATTTCGTAAAGTAAAGCCTAACGATTAATTTTCAACACTCAACTTCAGGGAATTCCACTGCCCAGCATTCATCTAGCCTACCACTGCCCAGCATTCATCTAGCCTTCTCTTGAAAGATTCGACATTAATACAGTTAACCTCTGCTTCAGGTAGTTTATTCCACGGTGGTATAACTCTGTTTGTGAAGAACCTAGCTCGCAAATTTAGTCTACACTGACTTCTTTCCAATCTAAGTTGATGGCCCCTCGTGCCCCTGGCAGGAACAAAAGAGAATACGTTTTGGAACCTTAGACACGAAAGCCCTTTGACAATCTTAAATGTCTCTATAAGGTCGCCTCGCATGCGTCTGCGGGCAAGGGAGAACAGGTCCAGGTCCAGGTTTGTACGCAGGATCCTTTTGTCGTCACAGCGACTTTAGTAGGGCAGAGTTTATCCTTCCGTTGGACACATATAGACTTCGAACAGGGTAGAATTAATTAAAAAAATGTCATTGATTGTTTGGGTGAATAGGGGGACACATGTGATGAAAACCATCAGGAGGCCTGTCTGAGAGATCCATTCAGGAGGGAAACACGAGTAGATGAGAAGTTACGAAAACGAAATCTGATGTGCGCAGATTGGGAGAAAGATTTGTACGCACTATGTGAATAAACTTTAAATGGAACTAAGAGTAAGCAATGGTCACTGGAAGAAATAAAAGCTTTTAGTGCTCAAGAAAAAGGGTTGGGTGGCTGATAATAACTCTGTCCAGTGCAGCGTTACCTCTTGTGGGACAGTGACAGAGATCCGTCATACCCAATGATAAAAGTGGATAAGTGCTAGTATGTCTGAAGTTACCAACGATTATGTGCATCTAAAAGTGGGGCAAAAAGGGGTATGAAGGAGTCGAAAAATGACATACGATCAGACTGTGTACAGGATAGGGCTATATACAAGTTAGTCAAAATTGTGTGAGTAAAACGGGAAAATCTGGTGTGACACTTTATAGTTAGGCACTCAATAACTTTTGTGCAGTACTGATAAACAACATTGGACTTGCCACAGCAGGAAACATTGACACGTGCTCCTTTTTCCTCCGGTTCCACAATCCTGTAGGTAAACTTAAAAACCGTCTATTGACGCTAGAGAATCATCTACGTCCTTATTCAACCAGGATTCTTGAACACAGACTGCACACGTGTTCATATGAATTTTTGATCGGAGGACACTAGTTAACTCCGACATTTTGGTAAACAGAAACCGAGTGTTGGTGCTAACCAATGAGGGGACAGTCATCTTTGACAAAGGGGTGCAATTAAGGGCAACTTGCCATCCTGCAAGCTTGCGTTGTTTGGTCCAGCCTGGACAGTGAAGAAATGGAGTCTAATAAACCGCTGAACCATCGAAGCATGTCCTGGCACATTTAAAACAAATAGTCTCATCCCGTGAGTAACGACGGTGCATGATAGTGAGTGAAAAGGTGAAAATTCCCACAATGTGAGGGAGAGCGTGCAAGTGTAGCGCAGCCAATCGAAGGGCGCGCCATAGAGTTACCTCATGTGGGAGAGTGATAGAGATCTGTCATACCCAATGATAAAAGTGATAGAAGTGTTCCACCAAATAAGGCGCCCAGGCCTAAACGCAGTACTCTAAATGTGGCCTCACAAGGGCCTTGCGCAGTGGAACCAGCACTTCATCCTCTCTAGAGGCTTCAGCCCTCAGGAGTTGATGGAGTTTCTATTCCCTTCGACCGCAAACATTGAGGTGTCAATTTGTAGGTCCCGTCTATGACGATACCCAAGCGCCTAATGTCTTCGCCTCTCGTTAGGGGTAAATGTATTTCATACTGGATTTTTTGAAAATCCTTCCGAACCCATAATGATTTATGGTGCAATAACTCTATCTGTGTGTTGCTCTTATATTGACATTTCACGATCATGAACACCACACATCATTATTTATCTGTTAACTCTATGCCCGGCACATTTGAATTTTGCGTGGTTTGAGAACGGGAGCGACTGTTTGCCTCTCTCTGGACATCTTATTTGGCTCGCTTGTTTGAGTGCTTTTGGTCGCATATTTGAGGTTTGCTTTATTGTACACATTGTAATAATTTCGTTAATTCAGTACCATAGAACATTACGGATCAATTGTGTTTTTACTTGGGGATTCGTATCGGTTCGGCTACGCGTCACTCAAGTGCGAATTGGTTGACGTACAGNACTCAAATTGGAATCAAACGTGAAAAATATTTCAAAGATGCCCAGGCGAGGAACCAAGGAAACTGGAACCCAACAGGAAGTAACCCGACAAGTCTTTGGGAGGGGGCTGTGGGTCATTTTGATTCTTTAGAAAATGCTAGATCTGTTAGTCCTGTTAGTGCTGTTTCATGTGTAGATTCAGAAATTAGGATATTGATAAATTTAGATTGCGGGTTTCTGAGTTAGAGCATGAGTTGAGATTAGTTAGACAGAAGATAGAACAGACCAAACGTGAAAGAACCGATTTCAACG